AGCGTGTATTGACACGTGTCTGGGTGTCTGTCCTGCGGTGGTTGGTGCCAGCAAGGTGCAACTGGTAGAGAAAGGGCGCAGGAATTAAGCCCTTTGCTCTCAGGTAAGAAGGGATCTGATCCCGTCCACAGCCCTGACCTGACCAGCATCCCTTGAGGAGAAGATGCAGGACTGGAGCTCTCCCGTGCCATAACCTCTGGAGGGACTCTTCACACTTCCCTTCTATCCATGAGGAGAAACCCCAGGCTTGGCTCTTCTCAAGCATAAACCAACTCTGAGCCTCAGCCACAGCGAGGCTACACTAGAAAAGAGGATGGGACAGTGGGGCTGCAGGACTGGGCAAGCTGAGCTTGTGGTCGAGAGATCAGTGCTCCTCACCTGACGTTGGCACCGCAGCGGAAATGTATCTGGAAGAGGTGAACGGCTGGAAGAGGTGCTGATGGGGGATCTTTGCCTTCAGCTTTGGTGCCAAGACCAACAGAGCACCAGACTGACAGCCGTGCTGGCTCCAAGAACAGCCCAACCTGGCTCCTCCGCCACAGTTTGTTTTGAGACTGACACAGAGCCAGATCGTTCCCAAAAAGAACGTGCTGCCTTTCCCAGGTACTAATTTTCCCCTTGCATATGGTGAGACTCCTTAAATTCCTTTACTATTTCGCTTTGATAATTACTCATTCCCAGAGCTACTCTGGCTCCTCTTCCTCTCCATGGTGTATCCCTTGCCTCCCAGGACACTAGGCTAGGCTCAGAGTCACCACACAGATCATTGCTTGGTACGGATGGGTTGGGTGGCTGGAAGGTGGCTGCCAGCCCAGAGGTGTTATGCCTTAAGTTCTGCCTCAATTTATGATCCCGGTCTCTCTCCCCCCTGTCTGTGTGCAACTTGCAGGAATATAACTGTCTCTGAAATATCTGCTTCCTCCCAAATTCATCTGATATTCATTAATGGGCTCAGAAGCTTTTGGGAGAGGGGGATGGACACATTCGTGCACGGAAAAGCAGCACAGCAGAACCTTTATTTCCTTAGGGAGGCAGCCTAAAGAAATATTAGCATTTATTCTCCTCTGTTGCTGAGCTTACGACCCACACAAATAACAGGGAATAGCAAGCGAGCAGCCGACTGCAGAATGGGAACAGGGAAAATGACTCAGCAGGCTTGGCACCGATCTGGAGAATATGCAGGTACATTATAACCTTGCTTGAGCATCAATCTGATCCGTGACATGACGTAGAAACAGCAGCTACTGTGGATATTTGCATCCGACAGAAACATTCCTCCTGATAAATGATTTAGCTCTGCTCTTGCAAATAGTTATATCCAGGAGCAGAGCAGGTGAGAAGCTGCTTTCATATCTGCCATGAAAGGAGAGGAAAAAAGTTCAATGAAAACCTCTTGCTGCTTTCTAAATGCCCTTTTTAATTTTTTTCCCCTGTTATCAGTCGACAAATAGCTGAATTATAGTTTCATGCTTTGTTCATGTCATTTTCCCCAAGATCAGTATTTCCTGCTACATCACCTTAGAAACTCGATCAACAAACACTCTGCTCTACACATAAACAAAGCTTTATTTTACCCTATTTTTGACAGCAGCCACCGTTTCAGAAAACAGAACATTTCAGGTTCTCTGGGCTATTTGCCTCAGTGTCACAATTTGGTTTTGAGGGCCTGTCAGCATTGTTTATACCCAGATCTTTAGGAATAGTGATGTTTTCATGTGAGTGGCAAAGAAAATACACTGCTGCAAATTGCCTTCTGGAATCAGATTTTCGTCTACCAAGAGTCTAAATGAAACTGCACTTTCTAACACACGGGAACTAAAGAGTGAAATGAATTCGAAAGGGAAGTGAAATGAGAAGATTCAGTTTCAACAACAAAAATGAACCAAAAAAGAACCAAACACAACTTTTACAATGAAGCAGGACCATCTCCAAAGCTCAAGCTCCAATAAAATCCAGGAGTGTTATCTCCAACAGAGCAACTGAAGAAGTCAGCAGGCCCTTTATAAATATTTCCTAATGGAATAGCATAAGATCTTGTCCTGACCCCATAACAAGGTCTTTGTTTTATTGCGGAAAAGCAAGACCAGAGCCCTATAAAGTTTTCTTACTTGGTTTCACAAGATGAGAATTTCCCAGGTAGCTGCTGTGAACACACAAATTAATCCAACAGCAAACAGGGGATTTTATTTGGCAGTTTTAAAGAACCTGCACAAGAACCCCAGCTACTGAGCCTCCTGTGATCTGCTACCGCACTGAGTCCATCAGTTAGGGATTAATTTTAAGGCAGATATTAAAGCCTATCACATGATGAAGGATTTTCCTCTATGTGGACTTCAGTGGGATGCTTTAAATCCTGTGCGTGCGCGGGTATACACGTTTACGTGCACGCCAGTGTTTATTCAAACCTTTTCCATTCACAGGCAGACACAGCCTGAGGCTTCTTCAGGCCTTTCCAGGGGAACAAAAACTCGGGAGGGGAGGGAGAGAGGAGTCATGTTTAAACTTCACGTTTTTAAAAGTAAGTTTTTGAAGGAGACAGGGCTCAGGTGGAAGGAGCCAAGCTCGTAAGGATTTTATAACTAACATAATTTTTTAAGAGGAGGCAGAATCGCTGCTCTTTCTTAAGTGCAAGAATTTAAAGCAAATTAAGGGGGGGAATGCACCCTTTTTACAGAAATGCATCATTTTTTCTTTCCTGCTGGGCTGTAACCTAAAGCATCTTGGCTTGAGAAAACGAAATAAAGCTGAGTGATGGTGCGCTGTCACTGCTGCTGCCGACACTCTGCCTCCTGCAAATCTCCCGGCATCGTGCAGCGATCTCCCGGTCAGAGCCTGGGAAGCGAGCGTTGCCTCCTCCTTCCAGGCTCAATCCTGCGCCACACAAACTTACCCTGCAGCTCTGTAAAAGCACGGCCGGGGTTTGCAGCGAGCGGCTCTGCCCGAGGTGCCGCTTCCCGGGGCTGGCGTGGCGAGGAAACTCTTCCCATGACACAGCAGAACAGCAACAGCAGCAGCAGCAGAGTAAAACAGATCAGCTCTGGCAGTGCTCCTGGGAGACTACTTTATATCCCAGCTCCAGCCTCTTCCTCCTTTCAGGATGGTCTGAAGGAGGGAATATGGAATAAAAAGAGGCTTAGTGAGGCAGGGAAATAAGGCCCAGGGAGATGGGAAACGAGGCGTGCTGGAGCTGGGCTCCACGGCAGGGGGACAGCCTGGATAAATGGCAGAAAGGAACCCAGAGGAAGAACCTCCCCCCCCATCCCCCCCCCAAATTGGATGGGAAGGAGAGAGAAACCCAAACGTTGTGTAGAGTGGATAAAGAGAAGACTCTGAGAGGAAAAAAAAGAAAGAAGGATAAACTGTTTCTCACTTTATTAAGTCTATTCAGCTAAAATCATTACTAATTTCTACAAAACTCCTGAAAGTTTTGATAAAATAATAGCAGAGGTTATCTGAGACACTGATCTGTAGATACACAGCTCATTTCACGGGAACTTGAAAACGAGAGGGGCAGAGCACAGGTACTTCAACCCCGAAGCACGAACAGGAGAGGGGAGAGAGATGATCCGCCGTCATTGCAGGATTGGGCCTGAATGGCCGGGCAGCTCTGGTCCCCTCCCGAGGCCAACAGGCACCAGCACCAACCCGGCAGCTGGAAAAAAAAGTCGTTTATACGACTCCAAACAGGAAAACTCGGTGGGACACTGAAGAAATTAAATTCTCAACTTGAAATTTGTGGCACCTGTGGGTCGTGCTTTGATCTGCCGAGGGGCCGCTGGAAGCTGTGGCGAAGGAGGGAATGTGGAACTGCTTTTCCCCCTTCAGGTTTTAACAACGAATCCATCCCCCCCTCTCAATTCAGCCCCTCGAGCCTTGCACTTGACCACCAATACCGACGCGATGCGACCGGTTCGGGAGCGGAATTTGGGGACCTCCCGCAGGAACGTCTCCCGGGGAAAACCCCGAGAGCCTCCTGCGCGTTGTGAGCCCGGCGCCGGCAGCGTGGAGAGGGTGGGCTTTACCTCCCTGATCCCAAATCCTGGGGGCAGAAGTAGAGCGGGGAAAAAAACCCACTTCAGCACCGCAGGCGGAACAGCAGCCGGAGGAACGCGGCGCTGCCGCCGGCCGGCCCCGCACCCCCGGCGGGATGCGCGGGGCGCCGGGGGCTGCCCGAACCACGGGGAATGTCGGGACCTTCCCTTTTCCCTTCCCTAAGGGCTGGCTGCTTGCTGGGAGCGTTGCAGTGGCCGGCGCGCATCCCTACGAGCGGCTCGTTGGAGCATCCCGGCGCACAGCCGGCTGTCGGGAGCCGGCGGTGCGACCGGTCGGGACGGTGAAATCGCTTCGCTGCCGACCGGCAGAGTTAAATAAAGCCCGGCGGTGGCGACTACGGCATCGACTCCGTGCCGGCCGCACCGCTCACATCCACGACTCCTCAGTCCGACACAAACAAGTTTGCGTTCCCCACACCCCTCCAAATATTTTTACCTTTTTCTTTTTTTTTTTTGCCTCTCTTTTTCTTTTTTCCTCCTGTTGTTTTGCCTTTTTTTTTATTATTATTTTTTTTATTTTATTATTTTTCCCTGCCAGCACCCGAGACCCACCGCGGCCGCAGACGAGCCCCGCATCCCGCACCCTCCAGGAGCGGGGTCCATCCCCCCCCGCATGGTGCCTGCCTGGTTATTCCACGTAGCGACCGGTGCGAAAAGGGAAAAAAAAAAAATAAACCAAAACCAAAAAAACCCCAACAAACCGACAACCCACAAAACAACCCTAATTAACAATAATAATAATAATAATAATAATACTAATAGCAATAATAGAAGAAGCAAGCCCAGCAACTTGCTTTAAGCAGAGGACGATAAGAGCGGAGAGCGCAGCCCCCCGGGCAGGGCAGGCAGGGAGCGCAGGGAGGGCAGGCGGGCACCGGCGGGGCTCGCAGCCCCCCGGGGGTACCGGCGGGTCCGGCGGCGGCGGCGGACGTGAAAGTCCCCTTTAAGTTTCCATAGAGAGGCCTCCGGGTGTCACATGATGGACATGATATAACGAAACAACATCGTGGGGAGGAAGGGAGGGAAGCGGTGGGGGAGCCCGGGGAGGCGGCGGGGTAGGCGGTGGTGCCCCCCGACCCGCCCGCCCCGGCTGCACCTGTCTCGGCGCGCCGGGAGCGCGGTGTCCGCCCCGCTGATGGGGCTGCGGGCGGCACCTTCCCCCGGGGAGGGGACGACGACGAGGAGGAGGAGGAGGAGGAGGAGAAGGAGAGCCGGTGGCGGAGGTAAGTTACCGGCGGGACCGGGGCGGGGGGCGCGGGGCGCGGTGTGCGGGGAGGGGATGCGGGGAGGGGGGCAGTGTGCGCGGGGTGCCCGCGGTGTCCCCGCGGAGCGCCGGGCGTGTGCGCGCCCTCCCGCCCTCCATGTCCGCATTCCAGCTCATGTTGCGCAGATAAAATTCAAACTTGAGGTAAACACAAGCGGCGGGGGGGTGGTGGGGGGGGACCGGAGGGGGGGAGAAAAGGGGGGCGGGGAGCTCGGGGGGGAGGGAGGTTCGCTCCTCCATCCCGTCTCCATCCCAGCTCCATCCCGGCTGTCGCCGCCCCCTCCCCCTGCTCCGCACACGCGGAGCCCCCGCGCACCTGGGGCAGCGCCGGCACCGCGCTGCCTCCCCCGGCCAGGGAGAACCGCGGGAGAGCCGAGCGCCTCTCTCCCTGCACCCCTGGTAGGACGCGGCGGGGTCGGGGGACGCGGCAGGTGCGCGGGGCGCTGTCGCGACATGGCTGGGGTAAGGGGGGGTGTGCGCGTCGCGACATGGGGAACCAGCCAAGTGACAGCACGGAGGTTGGGGGGGACTGGGGGGAAGGACGGGGCTGCACTCGTTGGTGCGTGGGTATCCCGAGCGGAGCGGGAATAACAGCGATTGCCCCCCGATCCCCGTTTTTCTCCATTCGCATTTCCAAGTGCGTATGGAGAAAACAAGATGCGGAGCGGGGCGGGCGCGGGGGGGGGGGGGGGGGGGGGGGGGGGGGGGGGGGGGGGGGGGGGGGGGGGGGGGGGGGGGGGGGGGGGGGGGGGGGAGGGGGGGGGAAGAAGGCGGGGAGGGCCGCACTGCCGCTCGCAGCCCCGCTCCGCGACACAGGCGGTGCCGCCGCGGGGATATTTAGCGCTCCGCTCCCGGGGGGTGATGATGGACGCGGCCGAGAGCACCCACAGGTGGGTGAGTGAGGGGAGAGAGAGAGAGCGGGAGCGAAGCGGCGGCCGCGAGGGGAGCGCCGGAGCGGGTCGCGCACCCCGCGGGCTGGCGGCGGGAGTGAGGGTGAAGCGGGGCTGAGGGTGAGGCGGGGAGCAGGGACGGGGCTCGGCGCGGCGCAGGGGTGGGGGGGGTGCCGGCGGTGCCGCCATGGCGGGTGTGAGGGAGCGGCGCCCTCAGGGGGGTCCCGGCGGCCCCGCCGAGGGCGGGAAAAGCGCGCGCGGCCCCCGCCTGGCGCCTCCTCAGCACTGCACCAAGGCGGCCGGGCGGGAGGGGGGGGAGGGAGGGGGGGCGGGCGAGAGGAGGAGGGGGGGGAAGAACCGTCGGCCACGCCCACCGCGCCCCCCCGCCGGCCAATCGCCGTGGGCGGCGCGGCGGGGACACGCCCTTCCCGCGCGCGCGCCGCGCCCTCCCGGCCAATGGCAGCGCGGCCGGGGGGCCCCCCGCAGCGCCCCCCTTCGCCCGCCCGCCTGTTTGTTACGGCCGGGTCCACGTGCCGCCGCCGCCTCGCGCCCGCTCACGTGGCCCCCCGGCGCCTGGTGGGTCTGAGGGGGAGCCGCGGGGGGCTGGAGCCTTCCCTGCCCGTGTGGGTGTGACAGGCACCGTGGGGGGCTGGAGCCTTCCCTGCCCGTGTGGGTGTAACAGGCACCGTGGGGGGCTGGAGCCTTCCCTGCCCGTATGGGTGTAACAGGCACCGTGGGGGGCTGGCGCCTTCCCTGCCCGTGTGGGTGTGACTGGGACCGTGGGGGGTATGCAGCTCTTCTGTCCGTGTGGGTCTGACAGGGATCCTGAGGATCGGGAGACCTCCCTGTCCATGAGGTCTGATGGAAACGTGGGGGTCTAGAGCTCCCCTGTCCGTGGGGTCTGACCAGGACTGGGGGGGGGGGGGTCTGGAGGCTTTGCTGCCCATTAGATCTACCAGGGACCACGGGGGTCTGGATCTCTCTTGAGAATAGAGGTATGAGGGGGACCATGGGGGTCTGGAGCCCTCCTGTCTTTGGGGGACGACAGAGACATTGAGGGTCTGGAGCGTTCTTATTTACGGGGTCTGATAGGGATCGTGGAGGACTGGAACCCTCCTGTCAGTGGGGCCTGATGGGGCACTATCGGGTCTACAACCTTACTTGTTTGGGGGTATGACCAGGAACATGGGGCTCTGGAGCCATCCTGTCCTGGGGGGTGTGACCAGGAATATGGGGGTCTGCAGGGTGTTTTAACAGGGGTCTTGAGGGTCTGGAGCCTTCCTGGCCATGGGGTCTGACCAGGACTGTGGGGGTCTGGAGTCCTCCTGTCTGCACGGGTCTGACAGGAGCCAAGGGGGTCTGGAACTTCCTCTGCCCACGAGGGTCTAATGAGGGGAAGAGGGGGGTCTGCAGCCCTCCTGTCGAGGGTGTTTGACAGAGATCCTGAGGGTCTGCAGCCCTCCCTGTCCATGAGGTCTTACAGGGGACAGTGGGGGTCTTGCTCCAGGGGGTCTGACTGGCCTGGCCTGGGTCTGGCTACCAGCCCAGGGGGCCTGAAGTCCCCGTGCCCAGGGGAGGTGGCCAGGACCCACTTGCCGTGTCCTTTCTCACTGTGAGCGTCCATTCTGCCCCGGCCCCATTAAACCTCCTGAAGGGCCTGTCCCTGGCTCTCGGCTCTGTCATGGCCGAGCTGTGACAGCCTGTCCGTGGCTGGCTCTTGGCCTCCGGAGAGGGAGGTGTTTCTCTCCCGAGGAGAGCTGTTTATGCCCAGTGATTTTTTTTTTTTCCTTTTTTTTTTTTTTTTCCACCTCCCTCCCTGCTCTCCTGCACAAGCCACGGCAGCAGCTCCATGTCTGCCCAGCCTGGCAGTGCTCCGGCTCGACTCTTTATGTAGGTGAAGCAGGGAAGGCTGTGAGGATCGCGTTGAGCTATCAGTCTTCCTGAGCCTGGAGCTTTGAGCCTATTTATAGGTAGGTTGGGCAGTGTTCAGCATGAAGGACTCGTGCCACGTCCGAATCCGTGGCAAAACGGGGCGTCGTAAATGGTGGTGGTTTGTGTTCTGCGGCTGTTCCTGAGAAATAGGGTTTTACGAAATGCTTTGGAGGAGTGGTTGTTAGTAGGTTATGTGGAGAAAGGCGAGTCAGTTTGGAGTTAAGGAACGTGATGCCATTTTAATGCAACTTCTCGGGTGGCAGAGCAAACAGTAAGAGGATACTCGGTTCTAGATCAGCAGCTTTCAGCCTGCAGGCGGTGGGACAACTCACCCAGGGTTCGTGGGAAGCCATGGAGGAAAGGGCATCTGTTTTCTGTAGGCTTGCGTTCATTATACAGATTTCTGCACTCCTAAAGATTTTGTGGCCGACCAGCTGAAAAAAAAAAAAAAATGGAAGTCAGCTTTTCTAGATCACTAAGATGTTTTGGTTTAGAGTAAGTGGAGGAGGAGTGGGAAAAAAAAAACCTGTGTGTTTGGTTGTGTGTGTTTCTACTGTGCTGCTTCAAAATTCAAAAATTCAGTGTATTTTTGAAGAATTACATAACCACTAATAATGTGGTGACTCTCAAGTAGCCTTCAAGAGTTAAATAACAGCAGATCAACGAGGCTGGGTCAAGAAGAGGAAGAGAGGGTTTTGTAACGAATGGTGAGCACCGTGCACACATATTTAAAATTGCGCTAGAAAGGAGTCTTTGGGTAGGAGGAGGATTTTAATGCCTTACAAATACAGAACATGAGAAGGAGGATGGAAAGATGAGGTTTGCAGTTTTTTGCTGGTCTAGTCCAGTAAATGGATCGGGAAGGGTTTGTGATGCTTCACATTCTTCGTCTTCCCTTCCACCTTGACTTTATCAATACAGTTTTTTGCATCTGAAATAATGAGAATTTTCTGATGCTGAGTGCTGTGGGTGAAGAGGGAATAGGGCATTAAAATAATAAGTTAGTGAAAGGGGTGAGGGGCACTGTAGTGGTGGAAGGACCAGGGTGGTAACCGGCCGGCCGTGGCATGTGCCGGGAGAGCTGGTGGTGTGTGTTGGTTACAGGAGTAATCAGACACGGTGTTACCTACAGAAATATGTTTATTCAGCCCAGGTGGTGCACTTGCTCTGCGCAGGTATATCCACATATCCTGGTATTTTTGGGGCAAAAAGAATCCTACCTTAATACAGGAAATTAAGAGGGATCAGTGCTGGAGATTAGAGAGTACCCGGAGGTGCGCAGTGACAGGGGCGTGCCAGCGCCTCGGAATTCCGAGTGTACGTGGAACTGCTGGTGGAATTGATGCACCAGGAAATTGCTTCCTCTGTTCTTGTTGGTGAGATGCAGTTAACGTGAAAGGAGCCCTTTGGATCCCTTATCCCATTTCTCTTTAATATAACAAAGATCATTTATCTTCTCGGGCGATGAGAGGTGGGGGGGGAAAAAAAAACAAACCTCATTTTGTAACTTGGTTCACCTTCTCTTCATTTGCTGTCAGCTCATGACAAGGCACAATGTGTGCTGCACACTGTGTTCCTCAGAGCTGTTTTGGTGACGAGTACAACGTATATGAAAAAAAGGGCTATGAAAAATAGGTATTGTGCCAGTTCTCTCCACTTTTTTTATATAAACAACCCCCATTTATCTCTAAAAGAGATGCTCGAAAGTTTCATTTTAGGGTCTAGTGCTTTGCCAGATTTCAGTGGCAAAAGGTTGCTGTTTTACTCCTTGTAAGCATTCAGAAAGCAGCTGAAAAGAAAATATTTAAATTAGTGTTTGTATTGGTTTTGCAGTAGGAAGTAGTGAAACCTTTTATTTTCAGTTTTAATAAAAAGGGAAATTGTGAAATTACTTGAAAAACATGTTTGTTTATGCTCTAGTAGCCTGTTATATGGTTAAAATTAAGAGGCTTTCTTTAATCCAGGCTAGATTTTAATTGTTGTAATCACGTGTTTATTAGATTTCTTTTCTATTTAAAAGTGAAAACACGGAGTTATGGTTTTTTGACCTCATGTATAGCATGACTTAGCTGTACTTCGTGCCATATTTGCACCGTGTTTTTCTGTAAACATCTTGCTCCTGGAATTATTGGTAAGA